AAAAAAAAAAAAAAAAAAAAACCTGACACAAATGCTGAGTAATTGTCAGCCAGTGTAGCTGCTATCACTATTGCTGTCACTGCCATTGTGCCACCCTTTGAAGGGGGCTTAGGTTGGGTTAGGTAACTGCTTCAAGCAGCATGCTCCTTCTGTGAGCAAAAGGAAAGGAGAGATCTTTTCTCTTGCTCACTGGCAGACAAGAAAACCAAGGCCCAAGAGAGAAAGTCCTGCCACAGCCACACAGCTGGATCCCCTGGCTTCAGCACCTGTATTTGCTGAGCATTTACTAAGTGCTGCTGCATGCTGTGATTTCGTGGTCAGGAGTATAGGCTCAGGAACAAGACTTGTGGTATGGTCGACTGTGCCTCAGTTTCCCCACCTGCCTAAGATGATGGCTGTAAAGTGTTGTGCAGGGGCCCAGCCGTGGATCTCAGTCTGGCGGCGGCAGCTCCTCTGGAGGTCACTGCATCTAGGACCGTCCTGCAGTCTAGGCCACATTGTTCAGGAGCCATAAACTCCCCAGACCTGCAGCACATCCAGTGGGGAGGGTGGGGCCACCCAGACCTCCATCAACTTGTAGTTTCCAACTTCTTGTGCTTTCCTGATCAGGGACAGCTCACTAAATCACCTCAGTAATGGAGGCGCACGCCCCTCCCTGCCATGTTAATAATTCATGCTTTCCAGTAAGATGCAGCAGGGGCAGCCACTGCGCTGGGGTGGGGGATGGGCACGGCCTCCGACAGCTCCACTTGGAGTCTGAGTTTGCTTCCTGTGTTTTGGCTTTAGGATTTTTAATACAGGGAAGATAGGGTCTCAGACCACTCCCCGACTCCAGCCCCTGCTCCATCTGCCGTTGGAGCAGGACTTTTGGCAAGTCATGCGACTTCTTTGGGCCTCAGTGTGTCCTTGTCTGTAAGTAGGTATGACAATAGCACCTGCCTCATAGAAGTGGAAGTCATAAAAAATGCCTGTCAGCTGGCAAGCACTAAGGAGAGTGTAGCTGCTATCGGCACCGCTGCAGCCATGTTATCAGGAGGTGGCAGGGCCAGACTCCTGCTCTAACCTCTTGTCACCCTGCCCCACAGGCTCCGCAGGCAGCAGCAGAACGCCCCCCTCTTCGGGAAGATCCGCAGTGCCCGCTTTGGCACCGAGGAGGCTGGAGATGGAGCCAGTGACCTGGATGAGGATGAGGACCTGCAAATCCAGGTGGCCTAGGGCCTCCCAGGCCAGGACAGGACTGGCCCAAAGCCACAGGCCCCAGCTCGCCAGCCCCTCGGACTGATGAAGCCGGCTGTGCTCACTGTGGGTCCCAACTCTGCTTCCTTCTCTCCCAAAAGGGCATGGGGAGCCCCACCCCACTCTACCACTCCTGTGGAAGGGAAGCTGTTTTTATAAGTTATATATATGTGCGCACGCATGCACCGGGGGCTGCTCAGACCTTTTGATTTTATAAACAAAGGACCAGTCCAGGGGACCCCAGCCACCCAAACTTTGTGCGGGGTAGGCCAGGTCCAGGGAGCTCATGAGGGCCCCAGCTCAGAGCTGCTTGCCATGCCTTGGTGATCTGGCAGGACCTGTTCATAATACAATGTGATGAACCAGGCTTTTGTAATAAATGGAGTTCAAGTTCTTGAGCAGAGTCCCGATAGCATAGCAGATATGCGGGGAAGGGAAGGGGATCCGCATCAGCCTGAACCTGGCACTGAACTGGAGCCAAATGAATGAATGAACAAGCATCCCACCTGCTGAGGTGTCTGGTAACCAGCGCCTGTGAAGGGCAGGAAGAAGTGTGGTGCCCGTCTAATCTAGAGAAGAGGAGGCTTGAGTTCTAACACTTGAAGGATTCAAACCACTGCTCTTCCCCTTCCTGGCTGTGTAACCTCAGTGCAGTTGCTTGCCCTCTCTGAGTCCCAGTTTCTCCTGCTGTTGGTTTAGGTGACTTACTGAGTCGTTGGAAGAGCTCAGTAAAGGTGAGTGAATATTGGAGTACCTGGAGTTCCAGAACAGGATCGAGGGCCGGGTAGGCCCAGGAGATGGGGAGCTCACCGGGAGGTAGGGGTGGCTGCTGGAAATGAGGAATCCTTTTCCTCAGCCTCACTCTGGTGTAGATCTACAGGAAATTTTATTTTTGATGTTTAATTTCTTTCTTTTCTTTTTTTTTTTTTTTTTTTTTTTTTTTTTTTTTTTGGTATCAGGGATCAAACTCAGGACCTTGCACTTGTGAGGCAGGCGGCAGAACCACTGAGCTAAATCCCCAGCCTGATATTTTAATTTCTAATGTTCCTATAATTAGATATATATCAAATGGGTATAAATGCTTATTAGAAACAGCCGGCCCAGCCATGGTGGCGCTCACTTCTAATCCCAGTTACACTGGAGGCTGAGGTAGGAGAATCACACCTTCAAGTCCAACCTGGGCAATTTAGCTAAACCCTTTCTCAAAATTTTAAAAAAGATTAGGAATATAGCTCAGTGGCAGGGTGCCTAGCATGTATAAAGACCTGTGTTCAATCCCTAGTACCACAAAAAAAAAAACAAAAACCAGAAGACACTTTCACATCTTTGCATGTCAGGGTGGCATTTGGGGCAGCGGGCCTCCTGAAGAGGCATTTCACATGTGTTCTGCCACAAGGCCCTGCTTCGTGCAGGAGGCCTCGTCAGGACCCTAGCGAGCAGAAGGTGCTAAGTTCCCCTTGTGCAGGAGTGTGCAAGGAGGCTGGGGCTTCAGCCTGGTGTGGAAGAAGAGTTAACTGCAGTTGATAGAGGGGCTCCCTGCCAGAGGTACTAAGTGATGTCCTCTTGGCACAGCTGAGTCATGAAGGTCCCTTGAGGCCACCGTGCAGGGACACTAAGAGCCCTGGGGCTGAGAGAAGGGGGCAGACTTGAGCACAGGAGCTCAGCTGAGAGCCAGTGAAGAGCCCTGAACATGTTCTTGTTGCTAAGGCTCCCTGACGATGCTAATGGGGTGAGCCTTGCTGCCATGGCAAAGGGCCCAGGTCCCCTCTCCTGGGCTCCAAGGGCAAAGAAGCCAGCAAGGGACACTGCCATGAGGACTCCCCCTAGATGGCTCTTGCCCCCAGCGGCCAGCAGAAAAGGCAGCATTTCCTGCCAGGGGGCCAGGGGTCTTTCTGTTTTCTCTCTCAAACAGGAAGTCGGCCTGGGAAAAGGCTGAAAGTGCTGCCCTTTGACCCCCAGGAGCTAGGAGCCAGGCCCTCACTGACTTCAGCCCCAAGAGCCACCTCCCCAGGACTTGCCATTCCCAGACACAGAGCAGACCTCGTCCCAGCTCCCCCAGACTCCCTGGCACCTCTGGCGAGATAGCCTTGAGCAGGGGCCTCATTACAGCCCCTATCTCCTGGCAGACATGCGTGTGAGAGCCTCAGCCAGGAGAGGAGCTGGCCTCCCACCTCCACTTTCCCGAGAAACAGACCTCAGGAGGGGGACAGCTGCAGAGGGGCGTGGTGATTTCCAGCCTGGAATGCGACTGCTTCCCTGCTCACAGCCCTCAGTGGCTCTGCTTTACCTATAGCAAAAGTCACCCAGTGGTCATGGCTGCAGCGTCTGCCAACAGAAGCATTAGCCTTGGCTCACACGATGGTTTTTAAAAATCTTTAATGCATCGCTAATATTAGTAATGGGAAGTTTTCACATCAAAATGTGGGTTTCCCTCTCCTAAAACATCAGCACCATTGACCACGTGGGACTCAGGCTCCACTGCCCGGGCTGGGAGCAGCGGGTCCTTGGGACACGGCACAGACACCTGAGCGCGCAGTCCAGCCAGTCCCTTTGTACCCAGCTCGTTTAAATTGCTGCCCCACCCTGGAGCACTTGAGGGCATTTCCTCTCTTCCTAGTCCGATTTTCCTTGGAGAGGTGGGGACAGAGGAGCGGTGCTGAGTCCAGATCAGTGTGAGGCATGACCAGGCCAGGCAGACACACGTCACTCAGACTCAGACCTCTGTGGGCTTCTGTCATTACACGGTGACCACCAAGAGCATATTTACTGAGCTACAGCAGTGCCACACGTGGCCTCCGTCTCACCAGTCATTCCCCATGTAGGGGCCGCTGTCACTGTCCTATTTTATGCTCCATCCAGAGGCTCAGAAGAGGCAAGTAGCTACCCCAAGGCCACATAGCTGATTAGTTGTGCAACTGGGATCCCAGGTCAGGTGGTCTGAGTCCAGAACCCACCCTTCCCGTCCCTCCAAGGCCAGGCCCCCCATGGCTCCTACTGTGGCAGCCGCAACCATTCCATTTCTGCACCTATCCTGTAGCCCCAGCCAGGCCCACGGCTCGCTGTCACTGGAACTGTCCTTCCCCCATCAGAATCCCTGCTCTGTTCATTCTCAGGGTGTCCATGGGCTGTTTACTTGTCGGCTTCTCCTGCACTACCGGCCGTTCTTGGCAGACAGAAGCCTAGCAGACATCTAGAAGTGTAAGGAGGGAAGGGGGAAGGAACTTCGATGGATGCAGGAATGATGGATGGATAGTAGAAGGAAGGATGAATAGAGGAAGGAAGGGTGGGGGCAAAAACGATGGGCAGATGGAGGAAAGATGGTAAGTGGGCTGGTGAAGGCTGAAGCCAGAACCCAGCCCTACTGTGCTGTCCGCAGAAAGCCCCGGGTGGGTCTTCCGCTGGTCAGCCAAGGTCCCCACCTGGAGGAAGCATTCAGCCCAGGTACAGGTTGCCAGCAGCCAGGCAGCAGTGCCAAGGCCTCTCCTGGGCCTGGAGTACCCAGATAAGCTGCAGAACCGGCAGGACCAGACACTGCCCCACCTGCCTGTTCCCTCCTCTCCCTGCAGCTAAGGCAGGGAGTCTGTCCTGCTCTTCACCCAAGGCCCTTTCCCCAGCCTGACTCTCCAGGGCAACCCACCCATATACATCATGCCCAGGAGTAAGCCATCCATACTCTAACCCTCCCTGACTTCAGGCCAAGCCTACTTCTCGATTGGCTGTGTGTGTTTTGTAAACTGCCGCCCCTCTCTGGGCTTTAGTTTCCCTCTGTAAAATGGGAGCCACAGCAAGTAAGTTAACAAAAGCTACATCCAATAACACGTCAATGTTCCTATTATCTTTCTGGCTTTCCTTGTTCTGCACCCCCTCTCAAGTCCCCAGTCCTGCCTAAGGCACCTCCAGCCACTCTGGCCAGATTTTCTGGGGCAGCAGATCGGGGTTGGAGTTAGAACAGCACCCAGGAGCCAGCTGCAGCTCTCAGCCTGCAAGCCCCCACCCAGCTCCTCTGCTGACTTTATCTACTAATTACAGGTTGCAAGATGCCAGCTGCCTCCCTGGCCCCAGGCGGGCGCCTCCCTATGGGGCAGGGGCTCCCTGGAAAGCCTCCAGCCCTCCTCCAGCCTCACAGCCCCAGCTGTGCTAGGGTGGTCTCCACAGTGCTCAGACTCCCCACCCCTGCAGAGGTGCAACTGCTAAACTCTCCTCAGCTTCCTGTCCCAGGTTCCTCCTCCCCAATCTAGAACTCCCGGGCTTCCACCCAGCTCTCGCCCTTCAGCAAATTCTCCAAGTGCTCCAGACCCTGATGCCCAGACAGACCCCTTGCAGTGGCCCTTCTGCCCCTACCGCTGACTCCCCAGCACCATCCCTGCACCTGCCGCCGAGCGAGCGCCAGTGAGCAGGTCAGACTGGATGCCAGACAGCTTGCCTGTCTGCCCACAGCTGGACCTGGACCTCGGAGCTCTGAGGATGGGACCTGTCTGTGGGAATCCGACCCTCCCTCAAGGGAGGGGGAGTGTCTGTCATCGGGCTCAGCCTCCCCTGCAGTTGTGCTGTTGAATCCTCATGACTGCCTGGCAGGTGGACAATGGCAATTAGGAAACTGAGGCCCAGAGAGGGAAGGGATAGTTCCTAAGGGATCAGATCTGGGGGGCTCCAAAGGCTGGGTGATGTTAGCTACAGCTCCCAGCCCAGGCCTGAACCTGGTGAGAGGGAGACTCAGGCAGGCATGGGAGCCTGTGCTGAGGCAACACCCCTGGCCATCTCCAAGCGCTCTCAGCCGGAGCTGTCTCCATCCCCGAACTCAGCCAGTGGCAGTTGGAAACCTTGCTCTCTAGAGGAGAAAACAGGCCCAGCAAGCAGAGTGGCTTATTCTGGGGCACCCAGCCTGTGTCCTGGGAGTCTCTAGATCCTTTGAATAGGAACATAATCCTTTGGTCCTTTGGCCCCATCACTGAAATAACTGAAGAGGATGTAGCTCACAGTAGTGTGCTTACCTAGCATGTGCAAGGCTCTGGGTTCCGTCTGCAGCACCACAAAGGTAAATGATAAAAATAACTGTAGAGCAGCTGAGCACATGTGGATTCACCTACACAAGAAGCTCAGTTTCTGCACATGTACTATGGAGTGTCCTAGGGGAACTAGAAGGGACCTAGGTCAAGCCCTAGCACCAGGCTTAGCACCCAGCAGTGCTGTGGTCTGTCCATCCTGTCTGAGTGGGGGACTAGCTGTCCAGGTGGGAAAGTGCCCTTGTCCACACTGAGGCAGGATCCACGGATCCAGGATCTGCTGCTGCTGCATGGGCCACCTGTCGCAGCCAAACCTGCTCCACCGGCCCCAGCACACCTCAGGGGCCCCCACCTGATCGATGGCCCATTTCCCCAGGGAATCTTTATTCCAGGAG